TTTTTTTAACAGAACTAATATTTAACTAATCCCAATTTCTTTTCAAATCAAGTATTTGTAGTATTTAAAATTTAGAATGTTATTTTCTTTTCATTTCTATATGGAAATATCATATATTTCTATGAGAAATACATATTAATTTCTACAACTGTCTTAGATTTATTTAATTTAATTACAACTGAGTGAGCTCTCACTTACCTAGTTTTAAAATATGTGTTGCCTCAATTAGTTGATTGTAGATTGTATCCTTTGCTGGTATGCATTGTATATGGGGTATATATTATGTATAGTTATTAGATTTGTTTGATATACTTTATATTTTTGTTATTATTATTATTTCTATAGGTAAATATAATAGTTAAAAAGCTTTGCACAAAAACACACACACAATCAAGAAATGCGATATACAATTTATTAATATATTCTTTTGTAAATGCAAATTAAATGCAGTCGAAGCTGTTGCAATTATTTGATTGATCTTATTTTGTATAACTTGTTGTTGTTGTTGTTGCACTGTATCTTGTGGGTTACTTTGATATGTTTAGCACATTTGGGCTGTGAGATACTTTTTGGCTTTAGTTACATGCCGTCAGAGCCAGAGGCGTTTATTTAACGGCTATTGAACTTGGCTTGCATAGCTGGCGCCGACCGGTGCACAGGTGCCGCATTTTGTTTCGCCTAGCATTGAGATACTTTTGCGCAACTAACTGTATCTTGGATCTGGTAACATTAACTCGCATTAACGCACACGCACACGTACACGTATACGCAAACAGAAACACTCACGCGAAACACGTAACACCGAAACCGAAACCGTCGTAGATCTGCACAGAGCTGAGCGTTGACGTTGTTGTTGCCGTCACGAACGTTGGGATGAGACTGAAACTGGACGAGACTGGTTCCACTGTTGCAACCACCATTGCCGCCGACCGAACCGAGTAGTTGCAACAACGCCGAATGTTCTGTTGCTGTCGCTATCTCTGCCGCAGTCGCTGCCGTTGCCGTTGCCGTTGCTGCTGCTGAGCTGCTGCYTTTTCGCTTGTTGTAACGCGCCGAACGAAGGTTGACGAGCGATTGAATTGAACGAACGTTGTAAAGCTGCTCAGGAGCCGCAATTCGTGCCACGGACATCCATGTAAACGAACACCAAAACGACAAACTAACTTAAATGTGGAACTTAAGCAGAGAGCGAGAGCGTTTGGCTGCCCAACGAAACGCAGAGTTAACAAAACTGAGTAAAAGCAAGAGAGTGAGCGAGTGAGAGAGCGCGGGTGTATTAAGTAAAGAGCGCGTTTTGTTTGTGGAATGCATTGGCTTGTGTCAAGCCGAAGTAAATAAACAAAATTATTTTTTTCTTATATTGAATTGTATATAGTATACTATCTCTATATATATAAATACATAATTATAAAGTTTTTTATTTTGATTACTAAAAATAATTTAGATTTCTTTAAAAACCAATAATAGATTGCAAAAATTAATTTTTGTATACTAATTATTTTGTTTATGCATTAGTTATATTTTAATTAGAATCATTTAGTAAAATTTTTCATATTTAATATATTAATGAAGACTAAATAATTCGGCTTAATTTAATAAACATTTTTCTATTATAATAAATGATTATATGAAATGATTATATGATTATGCATTTTAAATTTAAACTCTAAAGAATTAAAGTGTTAAAAATAATATGTAAATTATGAATTTAGGTATTCCACATTTATTTATTTATTTATTTTGTGTTATAATTTTCATGTTTCTCCAAATTATTTAACTCTTCAACCGTTTCACCTGTGCCATGTAAGTATAGCTCACAGTCAGCATCGCAGCTGGCTCTCTCTTTGTCTAACATCAAACCCTCGTTCTTTTATTTGCGCTCTGCCTTTCTCTTTTGTATAAGCTGCCCAAACACAGGCATTCTCTTTGCCAGCTAGTAGTAGAGTTTTCATTGCCATTTCGTTTCGCTGTGGAACATTGTGGCATGCTAACGAAACAAAACAAACAGCGTATCTAACTGTTGATTTGTATTGCTATCCGCGAGATTCAAATTTATAAAGCTGTTATCAGTATCGAAATATATTGTTAAATAGATTCAAAATTATTTAGTAAATTTTAATAATATTAATAATAATATAGCAATAATTGTTTATAAATAGTTTTCATTAGCTACTGATGATTCCTCTGTATTTATCAAGATACAATCTGTAGATTGAGATACAAAGCTATAAAGTGCGTAACGCGCCGCAACTTGTCATAATGAGGCATTAAAAAGCAGCTTAAAACCGTCAAGATTTGCCGCCAGCCCAAAGAATACGAAGAGTAAGAGCGAAAGAGAGAGAGAGAGAGCAGCAAGCGATCTCGCTTTGATTTATGACGCCTTGTTTGCGATACAAACTCTCAGATAGAGTCTTAGAGCGGGGGGAATCAAGTGTAGCGGAGAGCCATGTCTAAGGGGCACTTGTTGTAGATGATATCGTAGCGCGCTTTACGTTTGCCCAGTTTGATTGATTGGTCCAAACACACACACTTACACATACACATAGACTGTGTGTGTGTGTGTGTTTACTTTGCGTTTGTTTTATGATATGAACAGAGATCTGAGTGCTCAACATCTGTTGCTTTCGAATATTTCGACTTGGTGACACTCTTTGTGCCCTAGATACAAATCAGTTAGCTGAACCGGGCTAAGCCGCTTGACCTATATCTATATACAATAGTTTTTTACTTTTTTTTTCCAAAGAACACGCATCGAATTATTCACAGTGTAGGATTATCAAAGAGTTGAAGCAACTGAAATTTGGAATCATTTTCAACTATTCATTCGGTGTCGGGTAGAGATCTTAGAAAATTATTAACAAATATGGTTTTCTGTCATTTCTTAAATATAACAAATTAAATTTGAGTAAAAAAAAACAATAAAAAATATTTGTATTTTATTTGTAGCTATCGAAATTAAATTTCTATTATTTTAATGTTTCATTTATAATACTTTAATATTCGATTGTATCTTTGAAAATTGGTAATATTCGAGTGACATTTAATACTTGCATTTTTTTAATGTAAATTAACATTAAAGTCGACTCCTGATAATTCGAAATGGTGAGGGAATTAGTTTTCCATCGAATTACACAGTAACTCGAAACATAGAGAATTATTGAAAACGAATTTTTTCGATTTAGCGTGGTAAAAATTATTGAGAATCGCCTGTACATATAGACTTATATATATACATATATATGTACGTTTGATATATCAACATATTTATTTATTTAAGCATATTGACAAGACATTAGTTTTGCAGGGGTCTTATGTAAGGTTTGAAGATGGGGGACTTGATTTTTATTAGGTTGTAAAGTTCCTTGTCGAAATTAAATCTAAAATCCTAGAAAAAAGGAGAAAATTTAGTTATAATATTACTTTGATGATCTGCATAACTCATAAATTTTCCACCGTTTAGTTAAAGCTTTAGCTAAGTATTTAGTTGCACCTAGAAGTCTCACCTCTCTCTCAGTCTATCACACTCAGGCAGTTTCTATAGATCACTCTGAGTAACACTCCAGATAAGAGTGATCTACACAAAGTTTTAACTTTGCTTTTTATTAATTTTGCATTTCAGCTCATATAAAACTGTCTTTTCTCTCTCTCTCTCTCTCTCTCTCTCTCTCTCTCTTTCTCTCTCTCTCTCTCTCTCTCTCTCTCTCCCTCTCTGTCTGTCCTATCTGTCCATCAATTTAAGCTCATGTCAGAGACGCAGTGCAACTTCTCTTGACTTTATCTACGGCCGAACAAATGCCGAGTGACAGCTAAATATGAAAATTAAACAGCTAGGAGTGTGCAAGGGGCAGCGAGAGGGGCAGGGACAGGGGCAAGACGAGTCGCTAATCGCCAGAACTCGCCACGACTCGACACGAGTGATAAATTTATCGAATTGTGTAAATATTCAGTCATGATAACGCGCCAGTTGTCGTCGTTTGTCTGTCTCCCTCTCTCTCTCTCTCTCTCTCGCTCTCTCTCTCTCTCTCTCTCTTTAGGCATTTTGTATATTTATCCTACGCGCTGATTGCATTTTTGTGTAAATTCTTGCCACAATAATAATCAGCCAGGCAGGGCAAGGCAGGCAGCTCCTTCGAGACGTCTGTTTGTTTATGCTCTTGGCTGAAGGCAAACAAAGCGACGACTGCGGCGCATGCGCAACTGTTTAGGACCGAGAGTTATTTGACTGGACGTATTACCCCCTCACCCTCACCCCCAACCCTCGCCCTGGCCCTGGCTGGACTCTTGGTCGGGTCCGTCATTCATATTTTGAGCGCATTTGTTGTTTGCCTGGCAACCAGTTGGCAGTTGGCAATCGGCAGTCGGCTTGGCCCTTGGCTCGGCTTGTTTGCATAAATGATAAATTGCTAATTGATAAATTTCTTAGTTGTTGCATTTCTGTTGTGTTTGTCGATTGATTAGTTGCCTGGCATTTGCCATTTCCCATTTCCTGGCCAACGCAACTATTTGCTCGCTTTACCTTGCTCCACACGTGGCTGGAGAATGTTGACTTTACCGTAAATCATTCACTTTTTTGAGAAATGTCGTTACATAATCTGATTTTATATACACATAGCTATGTGTTTCAGATGTGATTTAATATGGAACATTTTCAAAATTATTCCTTGCTTATTTTCTATCTCTCTCTAAAGTCGTTTTGTCTCCTTGTATATCAGTTATTCGATATTGCTCTACTTCACTCCAACTTTCTTTGTCTATCCATACTCTATTCTTTTTCAACCCGTGAATTACTCTTTTTCTTCTTCATTTTGGGTTTCTCAATTTCTCTCTATAAGCCATTCTTTGCCCTCTCTCTTTCTATTCTATTTACTCATAATATATGCTTTAATCCCTCCTTGCCTTTCTCTCTCTCTCTCTCTATGCCTCTCTGAGTCTATCAATGTTTATATTTTTTCTCATTCCTGTCCCATATCACTATCTCTCCATGTTTTATTTTCACTGCCTCTATTTCTAATTCTCTTTCTCTCTATCTGTTTATCCCTACCTGTTTCTCTCTCTCTCTCTCTCTCTCTCTCTCTCTCTCTCTCTCTCTCTCTCTCTCAATCTCGCTCTTAACTCTTTTTTTGGCTCATTTTCTTTGTCTTAGTATGTGTCTCCGCCTCGGTCTCTTTTCACTTTCTCCCTCTTTCTCTTTATCCTCCTCTCTATATATATTTCTCTCTGTTGCTCATTCTCACCGATTCTTTCTGTTGCTCTTTCTCCGTGCACCTCTCTCTCCTTCGCTTCCTCTGTCTGTGCTCTCTCTCTCTCTCTCTCTCTCTTCATCTTTGATTATCTCTCTTCCTTTTACTCTCTCATTTCGATCTCAGGATAAGTGTTTCTTGACATTAAACTTTTACTCTCATATTGTGACACTTAAATACATTTTTTGTGTAAGCCTTTGATTTCTTAATTTGCTTTGACAGCGCATTACAAATATTAATTAACTTCGACAATCCAAATATACATATTTATATGCATATATATGTAAGCCATTCATGCGTTAATTAATTTGGACAACTTAATACATACATTTTTCATTTTTTCAATTGAAAGGGGAGTTGACTTTTGGCAGTAAATATATTGTTTTGGTTTTTTTTGTTTCCTTTAAGAAATTCGACCCTTATGACAATACAAGATTAAATCTCTTAAAAATTTTTAATTTATATTCGTAGTGAACTTTCAAAAGCTAGAAATTAAATTATTTTATATGGGAAAAATATTAGAAAAATATAAAATAAGCAATAAGCATCTTAAGAAATCATAAAACGAGGAATATAAGTGCCTTATATTGAACACTAATTCCTTTAATTAACTTAAATTAATTATCAGTGAATAAACATGTCATAACAACTATAGAGATATTTTATATATATTCTGCTAGGTATACCTAGCTATTGTAATATGCTTTTTCAATAGGATCTTCAGGTGAACCAAAGTTGGTTAAAGCAGCATTCGTGCCTTGTACCTATCAAGTATATGCATATATATATATTTTTTTTATTTGCCGACTTCCTCAACTTGCTACACTTAAAGTATCTTTGAGTATAGTTTTTGGTATCTCTGCTCGCTGTCGGCCTGGCTCATAAATTTCGTTT